CCGAGAGCGATTCGCCGTGGCCAGAGCTCCACGATGCATCTTCATCCCTGGTTTTGGCTGATTCTGTTTCGTCTCGATGCTGTAGTACTTAATCCATAGCTGGTTGCTCATTTTGATCACTGCAGTCGCCGGTACACCATCGCCGACGACGTTTTGCTCCGCCGTGATCACCGTGATCGTTGTCACGCCTCTCCATTGCTTCTCCGACCTCGCTCCTTGCTTAAACGCGTTCGGGGTGAGCCTCTTGTGCTTCCTGAACCCCTTGTTTGAGCTCTACCGGTCGCACACCGCCGGCGTAGCGCTGTCGTGCCACCGCATCCGCCATGATCGACGACGAGCTAGTATAGGGCCGTAATCAGTGCTGATAGGGACGTCAATCGATGCGCCTAGACTTGGTGATCATTTTGGTACGTTGGTCGTCGCCGGTGATCTCACCGTCGGCGAGAAATCGCTGGTCGAGCCCGTCATTGCCGTGGTCAACGCCGGAGGTTAGGGATGACAGTGGGGTCGGGTTGTCGTGACTCGGCGTTCAAATGGATTTTTTCTATTTTCGATTTGAATGAATAGTGTCTGTTTTTGTTATTTTTGTGTAGATTTATTTAGAGCTCCAAAAATTATGAAAATTTTTGTGTGACTTCTCTGTGATGTATAGTATTTAATAAAAATATAAAATAATGTTTTTCAGTAATTTTTGAATGTGATAAAAATTGCTCAATTTATTAATAAATGGATTTCCATGATTTTTCTAGGCTTATTTATATATCCAAAAATTATGAAATTGGTTTTGCCACTTAGTTATCATGTAATGAACATTGACAAAAATTTTGAGCTCAATTGGAATAAGTTGATTTATTTCATAATTTTGAATTAAATAATTAATTCATAAAAGCAAATAGTAACATTTAATGATTTAGGTTTTGTTTGAAATTTTGATTGAGTGATGACCTTGGATCATTAGTTAATAATGATCCTTGGCAATTGATTGGGTGTTGCGAAAAAGGTTTGACTAGTTTGACTTGCAACTGTACCGCGAAGGAAAGTTGTATTCAAATTATTAATTTTGCATCCATCATCGAGCATCATGTTTCGTATTCCACATCATGTTAAACATGGCATTGTTATTACGTGTAGTAAACGAAGGTGAGCACGTGGTAGTTAATCAAGTGGTTGAGGAGGTTAATCCGTCTGTTGAGGTCGGACCGAATACTTGTGAAACGTCGCAGGAGCCGGACTTTTCCGTCAACGAAGGCAAGCCCCGGATGCATACAACCCTACCTTGTGTTTTACAAATTGATTTTTGCTTTTGCTTTCCGTTACTGCATTAAGTGATTAGGAGTTAAGTAAGAGCCTAATTGGTGCATTACCATCCTTGTTATTCCATATTTACCATATTACCGCTTTTAAACTCAGATATGCCTAGTTTTGCTTAGCTATGCGAGAACGATGAAAGTCGGGTGATTACCCGCCACCGCAAGTTTTAAATGGAACATTGGTTAATTATGTTAGCATGTGATATGGGAATGTGGAGTAATAAATCTAGACCCAAGGCGGACTCGGTGTGTGTGAGCCACAAGACATGGAGGTTTTGTGAGCGGGTTCTTTCCGCTTTATGTGTCGATTAAGGCACGTCCGTTGTTGAATTGCATGAGGTGAGAATTTGTAGTACTAACCACATACTCCGTAAGCCCTAATTTGGCGATTCTATTACGAGAATGGCTACTCACAAGACCGGGAGTGGAGAGATGGCGGAATAGCGTGTACCCACGTGGCTATAAATTTGGATTGGTGGAGTATCAGTATTCTCGGGTGGCGCGGACCCGTTCTTGTTTTAGAGGATCTGAGGGTAGGTTGGTATATGTAGGTCGGGGACCTGCATATGTCGTGTGGTCTGGAATTCCCAGCTGGGTTTACAATCGGTTCGAATCGTCGTTGCTCCTCGATTATGGAGACTCAACTCACTGTTCATCATCGTAGTATTAATAACTGGAACTTGAGAATGGTTGATGAAGGTGTTGGATATGAAGGTTCATGATCTCATTTCGGATCGTGTCATCTTTGTATATGAGTTTATGAAGTTGAAAGTGTTGAAATAAAGAATTTTGTTAAAGAGCTTTTACGCAAAATAACTTTGATTATTGCTAAAACCATACCTTGAATCCCTGAGCCTGCATTCTTGAGTTATCAGTTCTTATTTCGGATAAGTCTTGTTGAGTACTTTTGTACTCAGGGTTCGTTGACCCTTGTTGCAGGTGAGTCTCACGAGCAGATCTGTTGTGGATCGTGCTGCATGACAGTTGTACCTTGTGATGGCGATGAGAAGTAATTGTGTGGCCCTTGGGCAGGGCAGTCTCATTGTGTGTTTTGTATTATATTATAATGTCGCTCCACTACTTTGGTTTGTATTAATATCGAACTTAGTTGTATGGTTTGAAACAAATGGTTTGTAAACTATGTTATTGTAAGTCTTCCGCTACTTTTACTCTGATGTATTTATTTGAATAAACTGTTGTAATACTGCAATGACTCTGTAATGTGATCCTGCTCGGAAATCGTGGATGATTCGGGGTTCTCCGAGGACACCCGACAGTCTTCTTCAATTACCAGGAACATATGCATAGATGTCAAAGGTCGTTGAACAGTGACAGGTGCATGTGGGCCCTATAATTTAGGAGGTTCTGCCATACTGCTGCGAGCCAAGTCTCGTCAAAAACCTCAGGGAGAGTGCCCGCACTCCCCCCAAGGCTCGGGGGCTATTGTCGAATACCACAAGAAGGGGTACCCTAAACAAGAACCGAAAATATTGCTTAAACCTTGCAAAAATCAAAGCCAAAGGACAACCACGAGGTCTCGCCAGATTCTCCGATTCACCCGAGGCTTGTGTCAAGGCCTCAGACGAAAGGCCAAAGCCCTCCGCCCCGCCGAGGCCCTCTCTCCGAGGCCCTCTGGCTGAGACCCCACCCCGCAAGGCTAGGCTCGGACGGGATACCAATTCTCTGATTCGCCCGAGGCTAGGCTCGGCAACAACCTCGTCACCTCCATCCCGACTGGCTCCTCTAACAAAACATCACGTCCAGTTAATGCGCCCAACTACTCCCGCAACGTCAACCGCACGTTGGCACAGTACAAGCAGAACGACCGACGGGACAGGGGACCGGGCGCAGCAGGGGTTACCTGTCACTGTACTCATCACTGTGCCCCCTGCTGATACCTATACTGCCCTGTGCTACCTAACCCCTGCGCCAAGGACAAAGCGGCGTAGAGTGTCAAGTCCGTCTCCCTGTAGTCTCGGAAACAGCAGGAAAGACCAACTGCTCGTCCTCCGCCTCGACCGAGACCCCCCGGTAGGGCCTCGGACATACTATTCCTTCTCCGCCTCAGCCAAGACCGGGCTCGTCCCGCATCCTCGTCGTCTCCGCCTCGGCCGGGGCCGGGCTCGTCCTGCATCCTTGTTGCCTCCGCCTCAACCGCCCCTCTGGCGAGTAGTCCCATCCGTGTAAGTGCGCCTGGTCACACCTACTATGTCAGCCACGACCGGCAGGGTACAGCAACAGGGGCGATGGGACGGCGATCAAATCTCCTTTTTACCATCCCCTACTGACGGTGTAGGGATTACCGTGCCATGTGGACACCCGCTCCATACTTTTTCCACCTGAACCGGGTACGACGCTAACCACCGAGACCCCCGCATCATACACGGGTCACCTCCGAGGCCTCGGCACGATCAGCTACAGCACCCGCTAGGCCTCGGCACTCCACCAAGTCAAGAATCCACAAGGCACGACATATCTCCTACCGTGGAGGCCATACTGACTAGACATCAACAGGACCCCCACGACCTCAACAACCTCAAGCCTGGCCAGCACGGCACGCCAAGTCAAGTACTGATCGTCATTCCCAACACCATGTTGCTACAGGACTGAACTACAGTAGGCTCCACGTGTAGCTCACTCGTGTACTCCTGACGGTTATAAAAGGAAGCAGCCAGAGATAGACCTGCATGGGGCAGAAAAACATACAAAAGAACCACGCTCTCACACACGCGCAAGCAACACTTTGTAACACACGCTCTGCCAAGCTGCCCGAGAGCAACGTCTCAAGCAGCTCGCACCGTTCCACGCCGAGACCTGGGACTAGCTCCCTCTCTCACCCAGCTTGTAACCCTCTACCACAAGCACTTCGGTGCAAGGAATACAAGATCGATCTCTCAGACTGAACGTAGGGCTCCAATTGCCTGAACCAATATTAACCTGGTGTCTCTTTACATCACCATCCGGGATTGGGGGCACGCAGTTCAAATTCACTGGATGGTTGAGGACCCCGGTCCGAAACAACGACAGATAGCTTTCATAATTTTGTTTAGTCCTGTCCCAGTGTTTTGTAATTATAAAATACTTACAAATTGCAAGTAATATGTGAAACAGCATACTCGCACTTCACAATGGTACATACTTTTTCTAGCATCATTAAATTATCGAATGTTTATTTTTCTCTCGTACTCTATACATTATTTGCTACCGGAGTTAAATTGTTCGCGCTTGCACTAGAATCTGGCTGCTCAAACAAAACGCGTCCTAGGGGAAAGAGAAAAATTGCTGCGAAAGAAAAAGAGAATTTAAAATAGCCGAAGGGGCAAGAAATGTTCCGGTGGAATGGGAAAGCGGGGAAAATAAAATGAAGCCCACTAAAAAATAGGCAGCCAGACCACGGGGCCCCTTCGTCCACCTCCGGCCGAGCGGTGCCGCCACTTCTGTGTTCCCTCCGAAAAGGCAAAAACCCTAGCAAAAACCACTGCCCCAATCCAAATCCCCGTTCCCTCCACTCCACTTCCCTCCCAAAATTTCAAACCCCGAATCGAAGCTATCATGTGCGAGCGCTCTCCTACCCCACGTTGATTGGAAGAACAGGTCCGACCTCACCTACCCAATTTTTCCTCCTCCAAAAAATTTCAAAAAATTATTCGACCCCGCCGCCATCCCGTCCGCCCTACAAATCCCGCCAGCATGCGCTCCATCTGCGTCATGTGGTCGCTGCTCGCCGCTGCCGCTGCCGCCACCGCCCCCACCGCCCTCCGCGGCTGCGCTTTCCCATCGCGGCCGCCGCTCCTCTCTCTACCTTTTCGCCGGGGCCGTGCTGCCAGGAACATGCTTGGCGCGGCGAGGTCGGTCTCTGCGGCGGTCCAGTCGCGATCCGGCGGCGGTGCGGCTACAGAGGTCCGGGCGGCTCATTCCGGCGAGATCCATGTCATCGTCGGCCCCATGTTCGCCGGCAAGACCACTGCGCTCCTCCGCCGGGTCCAGGCTGAGGCCGGCAACGGAAGGTACGAAAAACGCCGGCGACGCTGTGCCTTTCCCTTGTGATTACTTGTTTTGCTGACAGAGCGGGTCCGCCTGCTAGTGACCTCTCTTCCGGGTTTTTTTTTGGCTCAAAAAAGGTTTGGCTACGAGGAAAAAATGGTCTTTTTGGTGTCATATATAATGTAGTTAATGCTGGCCATCGCTGCAATTTATGAGCTTACATTTGTCAATATCTTGCTCGGGAAGCAGTGTATTTGTCTTTTGTCCTGGTCTTCACTGTCCAGTGATGACATGGTAGATAATCTTACTGTTTGTTATACAGAAAATTCCATAGACTCAGCTAGTCAAAGTACTGCCATAACAGATGAGCTTCTTGGGTAAGCTATGTTGTTTTTTAGTCTCCAATTTTCAGGTGCTTTCTCTGCAAATCTACAAAATGAAATTTAGACAGTTCATTTGACCATTCTCTGTTCTAGAACAGTTAGATACGATACCATATTGTGAGGTCACTGCTGTCGTGTTGAATTCATATACATGTAATTCTATTCTTAGGTGTACATCACATACACATGGGAAAACTGAAATTTGGTTGCCTTGACTGGTTCTATGTCTTGGATTAAAAATTTTCATTCTGACCTTTTCACGGTGCCATTATAGGAGTGTGGCACTAATAAAGTCTGACAAGGACAACCGCTATGGATTGGATTCTGTTGTGACTCATGACGGTACAAAGATGGCATGCTGGGCCTTGTCAGAACTGTCAAGTTTTCATGACAAATTAGGAATTGAGGCCTACAATAAGGTTTGTTCAAACACATGTTCTCTTAATTTGCATGTTGGTATCCTATCCATGAACTCTACTACCATGCATATATTTTGAATAGTTCACATTGGTGCATCAGGCATTATATTGTTAGTGCCCATCAATATTATTTTCTTGAACAAAGAAATCTTGAGAAATCTTGAGAATCATGACAGTGAACTCAGCTGGTGGTGCTGGGGAAGTATAGAACACATTTATTTGGAGTAATTCACAGATTAAAAACAAGGGCAAGTTATGAAGGACCATATGGTGATTATTCTACTATAGCTTGAATATCTTATTATGGGTCAATCCTGATTCCCGATAAGTTTTAGCGACCCACCAAGATTAACACCTAAGCTTGCAGCTTTATAAATTTAATTATGTTTAATAAATGTGATATTATTTCCTTACTGGTTTACTGGCGTTGAGCAACCAATTGCCAGTCCTTGTTCGATTGCTATTGGTTGTCTAATATGATTTGATCCCAGTAGAACATACTACTAGCTGTAGTGCCTCAGTAGTGTTTCTTTAAAACTGAAACCTTCTGATCATTTACTTAAGCATGACCACATTACAGACCTGTACAACATGTACAGCACAGGTAAACAGGCCTCCCCAAAGATTAGGGCCCCCAAAAGCAGTAGTTAATTGAATAGTTGTATAGGTTGAGATTGTGAAGTAAAGCAAGACTGCAGCAGCGGTTACTCCAACCTTAATCCACTTCTCTGGCTTACTTCACCGCAGGCACACATACTTTTTTCCCCTTCTCACTTTCTTGTGTTCTTTTACTCTCTCTGCTCAACCCTCATCTATCATCCTAAACGGGGAAAAAAAGGAAAGGAAAGCATTGCTTTCATCTGATTTTTGCTGATCATTGTTCTGTGGCCTCCACTTTGTTGAAGCTTGAAAACTATCCATAAGAGCTAAGCCTTTGCGTATTTTGCAAGCTTGTGCCCACACAAATTCGGACAGACATTGATCAACTTTCTCTTTAGCCATATGCATAAGATGCCATGAGATTATGAGACTTTGCACCTAGTTCAGATGTAAGCTTGCGCCTTTGTAGACAAGCTAATGGCTTTAAATGGTCGTTGCCTATACAGTTATGATGAGGCAGTGATTCATTAGCATGTAAACTTGCACTCTTGTTACAGTAATTTGTAGTTTTCAATATGTTCCTGGGAAGTTTATGACCTATAACATTAAGGTGTTTTCTTTGTTTGTTAATGTTATTAAGTTATATGTGTAATCTGGATAATCCATTAGGGAACCCCATAAGCTTTCTTAGTTTAGTTGTGAGGGTCCCCTAGATGGTGTTATGTCTATTTGTATATTGTAGCCTTTTTTATATTGAAATGATTAATATTGAAAAAGACAGATATAATAAAAAAAGGAAAAAGCTGACTGGATAAAAAAAATCTGTAGTTGTTATGTTTAGTGTCTTAAGCAGGATCCATGTATCATGCTAACAATGGTTCACGGATTCTTTAAAGGGCGTACTCAGTGCAGAGAGCTCCCGCTCTGTGCGGGGTCTGGGGAAGGGTGTCAGTGGCAAGCCTTACCCACGCCTATGTAGTGCGAGGAGACCGTGACTCGAACCCGGGACCTTCCAGTCACAGGCGGTAAGACTCTACCGCTTGCACCAGGCCCGCCCTTCGGTTCACAGATTCTTTGTTCTCGCATAATCCTCGAAAAATGCATTTTCTGCTTTAAGATTTGTTTGTCTGCACTTATTACATTATCAACAACCTCATGACCCCACTGTTCCATCAGTGTGGGATATCCCCTGAAAGATGTCTCACCAATGCCATGATACCCAGCCAAAAGTCTGGTTGAGATATTTTCTGCTGACCTTACTGCACACATGACATGGCTACTGAAATAGGTCCTCTTCTAGACATTTTGTAAATCACTGAAATTGGTTTTTGCAGGTAGATGTTATAGGTATTGATGAGGCCCAGTTTTTTGGTGATCTTTATGATTTCAGCTGCAAAGCTGCAGATCGTGATGGAAAAATTGTAGTTGTTGCTGGGCTAGATGGTGACTACAAAAGGTAATCACTGGGTTTTGAAGCTTTTGATTTGACCTGACTCTAAGCTATATAATGCAAAATAATTTTTGAGAATGAGTATCGTGCCAGCATTACATTTATTCTTTTAGATTACACCCGTTCGCTTCGTTGAAAAAACAAGCCGAAATACTATTCCGGCTGATTTGTTTACGAGAGAAAAACATTGTTCCGGCTGAAAAAACAAGCTGAAAAGTATAGATTATAAGACAAGCGAACAGGGCCATGGCTCATTGTGCCAGCATTTGATTTTGTGAATGTGATATTGGCAGGAAGAAGTTCGGTTCAGTTCTGGATATTGTTCCCCTGGCTGACTCAGTCACCAAGCTAACAGCACGCTGTGAGCTATGTGGTCGCCGGGCGTTCTTCACATTGAGGAAGACACAGGAAACCAAGACTGAACTAATTGGAGGAGCAGATGTGTATATGCCTGTGTGCAGGCAGCACTACATGGATGGGCAGATTGTTATTGAGGCCACAAGGATTGTATTGGACCTTGACAGATCCACCGTGACGGAGAAAGCCTTGAAATAGGTCGATACCTGACTTCTGCATGCAGATTTGCAGTGTGTAACAAATTATTTATGATGATATTGGTTACTGTTGAGTGTTGAAGACACTAGCATCTCAGTTCTGGCATCTGTTTGATATATAGTTGATGAAAAGCTATTTACCCTGTTCGCTTATGCTGAAATTTAGCTTATGCTGAAATGTTGTAAGGAAAATACTGTTTCATGGCTGAAAAGTAGCTCAAGCGAGCAGGGTGATTGACATTGAGATGCTGCTACCAGCGAGGGAAGCTAAATGAGGCTATCACACAAAGCACAATTGAGAAGATTGTAAATATCGAACAGTTTGGATTTTAAATGTGAACATTTATATGGCTTTTCCAATGCCATTGGCACTGTGATGCTTATTAAGCAGTCAGATGCTAGGAATTTCTATTTGGCGAGGACTACACGTATTTCTAAGAATAAGAAGTGTACAAGCTAATCATGAAAGTTTGCCTTTTTTATATTTGTTAAACATCCTAGGCAGACAGGATCGTATTACGTCGTATAGGAGCAAAATAGCGACATAGTAAGTGCTTGAAAGGAAAGCAGAAGTGATGGATCTATAAAACGGCACATCTATAACAACTGTACTGTGCCGTATCAAGACGAATACGAGCTGCCGGTCATGGACATGGCCAGGCTCCTTGATCCAGCGTCATCGGCATCAGAGACAGGCAGACAGACACCCAGATCAGAAGCAAAAGAGCAAGATGCAACGTAGGTAACCCATCAAAACCAGTCCACCCCAAAGCACCTTCATCTAAAATTTCTTCTTTTTTTTTTCCATACATCTGCATCTAATTTTGGTACAAATTACTAATAAAACAACAACATTACAGTTTCTCTTTATCATCTTCCAACTTCGAGAACAGGTCTGCAGAAAATAGTACACAGATAGGTCGATTAAAAAATGAAGATAACTGATGACAACTATCTCAGTGAGGAGGAAAGTGAGGCAATATAGGCACAACACAGTGCTCTATGGGTGATTTCACATTAACATTAAAATATTATCCCTTTCTAAATCACGAATTATAGGAAAGTGTGAGTGTGTGACAGTATAGGTACAGCACAACACTATATGGTTTGCATTTACTAGCTGCAAAACTGCTAGCAGATTAAGCACCTTAGGTCAGCTTGTCTGTAGATTTCCTCTGATGATAATTAACAAAAAAAAGCAAACAACACAACAGTATAGGTACATTCCATTCAGGGTGTTCACAGTATTCATTACCAAGAATCTATTTCAGTTCTTAGTTTATAGCTACAACTAAAAAGGAGCACATCAGATATCGCTGCAGGAGCTAATGTATTTCTCTAGTGTAGTCACTGGACGGCTGGAGATATGGATTGGTTATTTGCTCACCTTTCCTTCTCAAGCCTAGTCTTGGTGTCCTGTACCATAGTCTAAATCTCTGTTGCCACGCTGAAAGATATGAAAACTTGTAAGCAATGTACTCAAGATAGCTCACGAGTACAACATCCAGATAGAAAAGAAATCATGTGGACATCGGAAACGATAGTAGAACAGCAAGGATAAGCTTAACTAAACCTTGGTCATAAAGATAGAAAATATATAAGATTCTATGATGCCATTGTTCCTGAACTCCAGTCTCAATCTACTTGCCAATCACCTTATGTGGATTCATTTCAGTCAGTAATAATGCTCCCTTCAGCATGCCCAGGCCAAGGGACAACAAATTCTCTAATCGTGAATTGTTACAGAGATTTCAAGTCAAATTTGCTAACTAGTTGCTGCAACTACTGGACGGTGACTTTTTCCATGTAAGAAAATTTAATCCACATTTTCAATTGTGAATTGTTGCTGGTGTGTCGACACGGCCAGTGAAGCCTGCAACTTTCAACTGCAGTAGGAAGAAGGGTTGGACAGCAAGAAAATTACTGCGACTGAGCAAAATAGTGGAGATAAAAAATTCAAAGGAAACACAACTGAAGACTGAATATCAGACTCTGAAACTTGAAACATGCTCACCTGAATACTTGTTCCAGCTGCTAATCAAGAAAAATCGGCTTGATGCACTGCTGCTGAGACGGTATATCTGAACACCTGAAAGAAAACCAAAGACGGATAGAAAACACACTGAAACTAAATATAGGCAATTCAATAGCAACGAAGCAGAATTTATACTGAAAATCATAAAAGATGAAACACTAACACTCGAAAAACATAACAACTGCTGAAGAAGATGAGTAGATGACGAGCAGGCCTTAACAAGTACTCCTATTGCGCCCATGCGTGCTCTACAGAGAAGGACGCACGCACGCTGGCCTCTGCAGAGTGCCGACGATGGCAAGGGGTTGCAGCGACAACGTGTCTTCCTGCTCGCCAACGGCCAAACAGCCCTAGAGAGCTGGGCCTACACCGCTACACGAGGTGCAAAAGCCGCCGCTGCCCCACCACACCTTGCAGAATGGATGCTAGCAGCAGCTCACGCTCACTACAAGCTGACGGAGGCGCGAGATGGGGCTACGTGAATCACATTACTACATTACAAAAAAAAACTAGTGCTAAGTGACTGAAACTGAAGAAAAAAAGAAAATACTAAAACTGAACCACAGACTGCTACTAGCCAAAAAACATGCAAACAATAAATTAAATATTCTAGGCTGAAAATTGAAAAAATAAATAACTGAAATATGAAGCACTGAACATTGAAGGGATGAATCACATTACCAGTAAACAAGAGCTCAAGATAAATAAACAAGCTGTTGATATCTAGCAAGTAAATAGAATTGTAATTATTAAACAATGCCATTTCATGTAGCATGAAAGGGACACCCAATGTGAAAAGTGCTCAGCTCTTGGCTACTGAAGTGCACTTTGCCGATCTGAAAACAGAGCCGATGTCTGGAGCTGGTATTCTCATATACTACTCATAGTCATTAGCCAACACAAGCAAGCGACACAAGACACAATAAATAAGCTGAAATCATTAAGTACACATTTAAAAAGGAAATGATTACTTCACTGTTGCAAATGACGTCTCGCTCCAACCTGTCAAGCACCAAGTGCAAAAGCAATTGTTAGCTTGCTGCTGTTACAGACATGCAGAAGCTCTCCTGCCCAAAATGTTGAAGCCCAGGATGACCGGAGACTGAATTGCTTCACTGCTGCAATCAGCGTTCACTAAAACATAGAGAAAACAGGAAGCCGAAGACAGTGTCAGCGACTGACTGAAACTGAAGAAAAAAAGAAATACTAAAACTGAAACACAGACCGCTACTAGCCAAAAAAACATGCAAACAATAAAGGTGATGACTTTGTTTCGCGCACGCACGCTCCTCTTGCCGTCGATGGATCATCCAAGGCTCGGCGTACATCTGGCGTTTCCAACTAAACCGCGGTGCCTGGCACACTAGTCATAGAGAGGGGAGGAGTAACTGTTCAAATCTTGGGACTCGCGCTTCCTCTCTCCTCCCGACAGCGACGCCTCAGATAGAGCTCGCTTCATCTGCGCTCGCTTCGGCTCCGTCTTCGTTGAGAAGAATCCCCCACGGTGACCCAATGACTCCGCCGGTGACAACAGTTTTCCGCCGGACCCGGATCTAGGCGGAGCATAGGTCACCGCGCTCACCGGTAAGTTGGATTCCGTCCCGACGCTTCCACCTCACGGATTCGATTTGGATTTGTTCCCCGTCTAACTCCAATATCTTCCGATTCCATGGTTTGCTGGGTGTGCCATGCACTGAAGGTGGCCTAGGCAGCGCCATTCTCGGTTTGCATGGCGAGAGGACCGATTCGGATGAGGCATATACTGACGGATTTGGTTGATTTTGTTTCACTTGCAGGCTTCTTGGCGACGGCCGCGTCGCGGTCGTTTCACCATCGCCGTGCAGCCCCCTATCGCGATGTGCTGCTCACCATCGCCATCGTCTCACCGTCGCCGAGAAGCCTCGCTGCTTGCTTGCCCCCCACCCCCTCCCCGACGCCGCCTCCTGCTCCGACTTTTGCCTCCCTCGACGTCTCCTGTTGTAAGCACTCTCACCGTTGTTGCTTGCTTCCTTCCCTTCACAGAGAGGTAGATAGATAGATCGGACTGCTCCGTTCAAGCATTCTGGTTATTCATTAGTAGCGTATCCAGGATTTTTTTGGAGCCTTGGCACTCTGAATGAAAGTACATATTATAATTTCTGCTTGTAGAATGTTGTCTTTACATGCTCACTAGTGTTTAATTTTAGTCAGAAGAATAGGCTCTCCTGAAGGAAAAATTTCATAAGCATCAGCCATTACACTTGGTGATGAAACATGTACCCTGAAATATGTAACCTCAGACCTGAAACCTGAATATCTATAGATAATATCATTTTTGTCGCATACACTAAATTCTAGGTGTAGTGTCCACGTCTCTACGAGATAGCTGTGGCTAGGTCTGGTGGACATGCAGGTGCAGTGCACATCCTTATTGGCTTTGGCACAGACTAAGCTTCGAATACGTACTGCTCATAAAGATGGAACTTGTTTTTTGTCTTCAGTGGTCGCAGTGCTAGCACCTGTTGCTTGCTAATGTTGCCCTTCCCTGACCATTACTCCATATGTTGATGATTTCACAGAATCAAGTTGTTGCTCTTTCGACTCTTTTAGGGTGCATTATATGATAAATCTAGTCCATGTAATTACTGATAAACCTGAAAGGCTGCATGTGCATGATCCTAGAAGTCCATCTCCTTTTGCCCAAACCAATGCTTTGTTTGCTCTGATCGCAAGTGGCCTGAGGCATTCAGAATTCAGCATTCAGCCTAGAGGCATTTCTTATCCACATGCACACCATAAGGCTAAGAATTCATATATTGTTCTTTAGCAACTTACTTCCTTGTCATAATATACATGGACTGTGTGGCTCCCTTGTTCATAACCCAAGTTGTATTTGCTATTTTTCTTCTTGTTTTAATCTATGCATTTCATGATCTTGGAAATGCCCATTTGCTATCTCACATAGTTCCAAAAATATTCTGCGCTATGACATTGTTAATTAAGCCTTAATGTTGGCTATTTCTGCTCAATGTGCATCATTAGGTCTATTCTATTTAGGTTTTGAGATTCTTCTTGTTTAATTAGAACTGAATGCCTTGAATTTGTTTAATTATAGCTTCTGCTTGGTCGAGGCACGAGTGAGGCACCCAGTCCATTTTTCTGCATCTAATTTGTGTATAAGCAGCTCTTGTCGGTGAAACCGCAAAATATCTCAGGTGCTTGTTGTTTCCTTTCTTTTTTATTTCATCTCCAATAACCAATGCCATCCTGTTTCTTAACAGTGTTATCCTTTTAACCGATTGGTGTCAGATTGTCGCATGTACTATAATAGTTTATCTGTGATTGTTCAGTCCTGTCTATTTAGCATCAGTGGCAATCAAAACCAGTAGTGCCGATTTATCAGTAATTACATGAATATTACGAGGACTTTACTCACTGCAAGAAATTACATTAGATTTTAGTCTATGGTTTGTTGCCTGGCCACGCTCTCTGGTTTCTTTTTATTTCGCAAGAACTACAAAATAGTTCTATACCAAGAGGACAATGGCTATATCTTATCTAATTTACTTTACCAATCATGCTTTATGTATGCACTTTCAGTTCTTGCGAATGTGCTACATATTAGATCAGCACAATGTTTCCTAAATCTTTCAATATATGCTTTATGGAATAGGCATGCAGTAGGAAGGCTCACTCTGTTCCCAGCCTCCTGGCTCCCTACAATCTGCTGTGCTATTCATTTAGTGATCATCACGCTATTACTAGTGTTTAGGAGTACCTATCATGCATGTATTCATTTATGCTCCAGCTTTCACTTGTGCTCTCATCCTATATGTAAATTAGAATCTTGCTGCTCCATAGTGCAGCGTTTCTACAGGAGCCGGGAGGTTTCGAACGGAGTGACGCGAGGGTGCTGATGTGTGTCTTATATTACAGTGAAAGTATTAAACTTCATGTATTGAACTGCTCTTTATGTATTGAACTGCTTTTCTGAAATTATTGAACTACTTTTTTTAAATTATTGAATGAAATTACAGTGAATGTATTGAACTACTTTTTTGTAATTAGTGAATCCAAACATGTATTAAACTTCACTTCATGTCTATCTTTTTTATTTGGGAGAATTATCTATTTGGCACTGAAACAAATCAGTGTTTTGTATTTAGCACTCGAAAATTTGAACTTTCCTATTTGGCATCAAGTTAAAATTTTCTTTCTTAAATAGCACTGCCATCCATTTAGGATAGTAACGGTGTCGAGTGACTGGCAAAATGACATGAATGCCCTTGTTTACAGTAGAAACCCATGATGCCAAATAGGGAAAGAATAAATAAACAGGTTGTCAAATAAAGAAATCATAAAAGGTTATTTGAATTGGTGACATTATAATTTTTATGAATTGGAAATAAACCATTACTATTTAGGCCAATATAATTCCATTGATGTTTGAAATCTGTCTTTTTAAACTCTTTATAGACGTTATATAGAGCCCATCAGTAGGTTACTGTATTCTTGTATTGCGTAAACTGCCCTTCTACTTATTATCTGACATGTGGGCCCACATGACATCTTCCTTTCTTCCCCCACGGAGTCCCCACACGACGAGCGCGTGCGGCTAGTAGAGCGAGCACGCGCAGCGGCGGCGCCTACGGCGAGCACGCCCGGCCCCAGGCGGGCTAGCGCACGCGGCGCGCGAGCGAGCTCACTGCAGCACACGAGCACGCGGCCAGCGGAGCAAGCAAGCGTAGCGGTGGCTGTCGGCGAGCGCACTACAGCACGCGAGAGGTCTTATGCACGGCGGCGCCAGCACGACGGCGGAGCGTCACGGTCTGCACGGTGACGCGGCACGGTCTGTGCGGCGGCGGCTCGAGGGCAGCGGCACGAGCGAGCTCCCCTGGCAGCGCGTGCCAGCGCAGAGACGCGCGAGCAGACCTCCAGCGCAAGCGAGCTCCCGGGGTGGCGCGGGCCAGCTCACGAGCAGAGCTGCAGCGCAGCGGCGCGCGAGGGTGGCGACGCAGATGAGACTAGCGGCGGCGCAGGGCGGGCACGGCCGGCGCAGCCGAGGCGCGGCCGAGTGGGGTGGGCATAGGCAGACGCGGCCGGTGGGCAAGCGCGGCGTGGCTAGAAACAGGTGGTTTCTTCCCAACGGTGTTTTCATCGATTCTTCCTGCGTTGGGTGAAGAGAAGACGTCCTAGGGCAGCCTCGCACAGCGGCACAACAGAGCCAGGGAAGAAGGTCGTAGGATCTGGGATTGTGGGGGCTCGGCCAAATTTCAGTCTTCTGTATCTAACAGAGGGGTACATTGGACATAGAGAGAAAAAACTAACACGGTCGAACCAGTCAACTAACAGATAACCAATGAAAATGGACGGCAGTGCCATTTAAGAAAGGAAATTTTAACTTGATGCCTAATAGGAAAATTCAAATTTTTGAGTGCCAAATACAAAACACTGATTTGTTTTAGTGCCAAATAGATAATTCTCCCTTTTTATTTTACCTATATTTATGCCAAATGAGCTGAACCCTTCATCCAACATGGTCTCTTAGGTGCTGCTTGTGTTAGGCAATGGGTAGAGGATAACAAAGCCAACCTACTGCTTCATCGTCTTCAACGGTTCCTAAGGTATGTGCACCTAATGCGTTAGCTCTATTTTTGTATTCACCTATTTTGTGCACTCAATTTTTAGTTGTCGCTATTTTCTAACCTTTTGCAATCCATCTCCTATTCCCATCCTCGAAGACAACGGGCTTTCCCATCGAGGCTCGTGAAGCTCTACAATGATTTGACTCAATCTTAGAAGAAAAGAATACAAGCGATAGGTTTTGGTGGTCTCCTGAAGATTGCTTCTAAGACCCTTCCTGCAGGTTTTGCAGACTGGTTGATGGTTGAGTGCTATGATGCTGATTCATCAGAGCTAGTGTTTCCTGACAGGGGAAGGATTTTAATCAATGCTGATTCAGTGTGTCGTGCTTTTGGTGTTCCAAACAATGGTGATGAAGTTAAGTATGAGCTTGATGTTGGTGCGATCAATTTCATTAATGGTGAGTATGGTATTGATGAAGGGACAAAACCTACTATATTGGAAAGGTTGAAGGAGAATAAGACAAGCAATGATGATTTCCTAAGGTCCTAGCTGATGATAGCAATTTCAACATTCCTGTGTCCTCCAACTAGCTTAGCTATTAGCCCAAGGTGCTATCTAGCCATTGTGGATCTTTCTTGTGTCAAGAAGTTGAATTGGTGTCAGTTTGTTGTTGACCAGCTTAAAGACGCGGTAGCCAAAATGGGCAAAAGAAGATCTTTTAAGGGCTGTCTTCTTGTCCTTGTGGTAAATTGCTTTGCGTCTTGTTCTATGCTGCAGTGTTTGGTGAGTGCTGCTGCAGCAGCAGTAGCCACAGCGCCGCTGCAGCAAGCACTATCGATCTCAGCCATATATGTTTCTACTTCTTCATTTTTTTCTTATGTTTTGATGCCCTTGTTGATTTTTCATCTTTGTAGATTCTATATGTAGACTCGCTTCTGGTTGATAATGTACAAATCCCTTTCAGCCTTCATCGTTCCACATGGATTATATAGGAAGATTTGTCTCCTCGAAGGTTTCCAGTGGCATTTCAGATCAGGTTTGTACATGGTTTCTTCTCTAATGATGTTCTTACGACTACTAATTTTTGTTAAATGTACTTGAATGTGTTTGCGTGAAAATTTGTGTTGGCAGACCCATTATACATCTTATATGTTGTCTAGTTGAAAGGATCAAGCTATTCTACTCCACAGCCTTCATTGTTCCACATGGATGATATAAGAAGATTTGTCTCCTCGAAGGTTTTCGATGGCATTTCAGATCAGGTTTGTACATGGTTTCTTCTCTAATGATGTTCTTACGGCTACTAATTTTTGTTAAATGTACTTGAATGTGTTTGTGTGGAAATTTGTGTTGGCAGACCCATTGTACATCTTATATGTTAAGACTCAAATGTTAATGTGCATTGCCTTTCCTATTACTAAGTTCAGAGTTTAGCCCATTGCTTGATTGTTTTTTTAACAAAAAATAAATAAATTACAAAATTTTAATTCATCATATACTTCATCCTTTTTTCTGTGTAGTTTCTTCCGCGCCTACTTTTGACTTGTGTAGTAGTATGCTGATTCATCCTTTTTCCTAGAGTTCAGCTTAGCTTTTCATGAATCCCATGATGCCCTTGCCTTTTCATGAATCCCGTGTTTTTAGCATCCCCATTTTAGCATCTTCACATTTTTAGGCAATTTAAGTGTCATTCGTTTGGCAACAATGTCTTCCTAAATAGGCAATTTAGCCTATTCTTACTAGTCAAAAAGGCCATCCCTTTTGTTGCTTATATGATTGCTTAACTCTAAATAGGCAATTTAAGTAGAGTTAAGCAACCATATAAGCAACAAAAGGGATGGCCTTTTTGACTAGTAAGAATAGGCTAAATTGCCTATTTAAGAAGACATTGTTGCCTAACGAATAACGCTTAAATTGCCTAAAAAATGCGAAGATGCTAAAATGGGGATGCTAAGAACACAGGATTCATGAAAAGGCAAGGGCATCACAGGATTCATGAAAAGCTAAGCTGAACTCTAGGAAAAAGGATGAATCGGCATACTAGTACACAAGTCAAAAGTAGGTGCGGAAGAAACTACACAGGAAAAAAGGATGAAGTATAGGATGAATCAAATTTTGTAATTTGTTTTTTTTGTTTAAAAAAACAATCAAGCAATGGGCTAAACTCTAAACTTAGTAAATAGGAAAGGCAATGCACATTAACATTTGAGTCTTAACATATAAGATGTACAAACGGGTCTACCAACATAAATTTTCACACAAACACATTCAAGTACATTTCAATAACACTATTTCTTAATTTAAATAGTTTCTTGATTTTGAACTTCTCTTCCAGGCTTGTCTGGACATCTCTGTGCATTGTTATCATATGATCTACAAATGCTGCACCTATTCTTCCTCTTCGCTTGACCATTCATCCCCTTTTTGTGCGCCTTCTCCTTCTGCGCCCTTTGGCTTTTGACTTTGGGGGGTTCCCTACATTTAATGAGCTTGGACCAGCCACTACACCTACAGGGTGAAATGCAATATCAGCAACTAAGTAACTAAGTACAGGTGTACTAGGATGAAGTAAAGCAGAACACAGGGTTTAGTTTTTAAACCCGTAGTTCACAGTGAAGGTCTGAAAGCTCTAGTTTGGTTTTGGTGAATTGATGAAACCCTAAGTGCTAACCTAGTTCATCTAAGTGATCATGAGATAGGTAGCATTATTCCAAGTGGTGAAGCAATGGTGAAGATCATGATGATGGTGATGCCATGGTGATGATCAAGTGCTTGGACTTGGAAAAGAAGAAAGAGAAAAACAAAAAGATCAAGGTAAAGGTGAAATTGATAGGAGCTTTTTGGTTTAGTGATCGAGACACTTAGCGAGTGTGATCACATTTAGGATTGATAGCCATACTATTAAGAGGGGTGAAACTCATATCAAAATGCGGTTATCAAAGTGCCACTAGATGCTCTAATTCATTGCATATGCATTTAGGATCTAGTAGAGTGCTAACATCCTTGAAAATATTTGTGAAAATATGCTAACACATGTGCACAAGGTGATACACTTGGTGGTTGGCACATTTGAGCAAGGGTGGAGAAGTTGGTGAAGTGAAGGAGATGATAGTCACTGAAAATAGTGACCAGACTCGGGGGAGCAGCGTCCGGTCATTTATAAAATTAGTAGTGTGCTCGGGCTACTCTCGGCCTGAGACTGGATGCAAGTGACCGGACTCTGGCTGAACACTATTTAGCATCTAGTCCTACTGATGTGGCAGCACACAGAGAAGAGGAGGAGGAGCGGACGCACCAGCGCATCCAGTCATGGTGGACCGAACGCGTCCGGTAAAAAAAACCCGACTCTAGTTCCTTACTAGAAACGACCGGACTCCAGTGATGGAGCGTCCGGTCACTTTGAGCAGTGCATCCGGTTGCAACTTAACACGTGGCGCGAAGCAGACTAGCAGTTAAGATTGGGCGCTCAACATTTGAGGCTGATGACACATGGTGAGCATCGGGCGACCGGACGCTGGGGTCCTTCATCTGGTCAACCTGACCAGCATGTTTGGTCAGCCCGTGTTTCACTAGATAGAGGAGCCAACGGCTCTATTCGTGGGGGCTCTTTATTTAAGCCCCATGGTCAGCTCAAGCTTACTCTCTTGGCCATTTGCATTGACATAGCAACCTTGTGAGCTTAGCCAAAGCCCTCTCACTCATCTCCATCATTGATTCATCATCTTTGTAAGATTGGGAGTGAATCCAAATGCATTGCTTGAGTGTTTGCATCTAGAGGCACTTGATGTTCGTGTTTCGCTGCGGGATTCGCTTATTACTCTTGGTGGTTGCTGCCACCTAGATGGCTTGGAGCAGCGAGGATCGTCAAGCGGAGGATGGTGATTGTCTCCGGCTCTGATCGTGGTGATTGTGAGGGGTTCTTGACCTTTCCCTGGCGGAGAGCCAAAAGGTACTCTAGTAGATTGCTCGTGTTTTGTGTGATCCTCATCTTGTGTTGGTTGTGCGGCACCCTATTGAGGGTTTAGCGTGTGATGCCAATTAGCGCGTGAATCGCCACAACAAGGACTAGCTTGTCGGCAAGCAAGTGAACCTCAGTAAAAAATCATTATGTCATCATTTGATTCTGAGGTGATTGGTCTTCATTGGTATTTATTCTTGTGATTGATTGGTTCATTCCTTGACTCGGCGGTATAACCATCTTGCTCTCTCTCTTTACATTACCACAAACTAGTTGTCAAGCTCTTTAGTGTAGCTAGTCGTGAGAGCTTGTTAGTTTGGTTAGTGTGGCTCTTTAGTTAGCCTTTGAGAGCACACTAACTTAGTGTAGTGACATAGCCATTATATGGATAGAGACTATAGAAACTAGAATTGTGGTAGGTAGCTTGCATTTTTAGTAGGCTAGCGCAACACTCACTTTGCCTCATATTTGTCTAACTGGTTTGCTAAGTGTTGTTGTAGAAATTTTTAATAGGCTATTCACCCCCCTCTAGCCATTAGAACCTTTCAAGGTCCAGTTGGAGTAGAGGCACCTGGACCAGTGTTCTATAGCACTAGGGTCTTGTGCACCTTCTATAGCACCAGTGTTCTGCCTATTCGTCATCTTCCTTTTCTTGATTTCGTCTAATTCAGATCGCATCTGCTTGATGTGCTTCTCCAAAATAGCATAGTTGTTATCACTTGTACAACCCTCAACTACTAGTGCTGCAAATGCGGTGGATGCGTTGGTGAATCTTAGAGTTTTTGGCAGGTCAATGGCATCCCACGGGCTACAAGTTCCACTAGTGCCTACACATTTTTGACCTGATATGTATCACTAGTAATTGCTTGCTGCATCCACCTTTTAAGGATGTAACTTTCTGGTATCAATTTCACCCCATCCTGACCATAACCCTCATAATGTGGCAGCAAATGATGCCATCCCTGTCAAACTTGCTGCACTCACAGCAGTAGCTTTCCTCCTCTTCTATTGCTGTAACAAGGTAGTTCCTTTTTCCATACCCATAAACAAAGTTGTTATTGGGCTCCACCCAATATTGGAACTGCCCTACAGGCTTCACATCATATTCTACAGTTTTCTCAAACTCTTTGGAGAACTTGTAGAACATATTCTTTGTGTATACAGTGGAAGCATGCTTCTCAAGCGGATGCCTTGACTTTCGTCTTCGCTCATTCTCATCAGCCCTGAAGTCTTGCCCATCCTGTGCTACTAGACACTTCTCTTTGTATTTGCTGGTACTGTCTCATAAACTGAAGCACGTACAAGTTTGGGTTCACATACTTCTTGAGAAAAGCATTGAACCCCTCTCTCCTTTGAGTCGACTGGAGGAATGGGAAGAAGCTGTGCATGTAGTAGGCTGGAATGAAGCTCTGCCTTATGTGGTATAGGTGCTGAAAATGCTCATTGCCCTCCAAATCATGTTTCTGGACCATAGCGACCCACTTTGACTCAAAATCTTCAGGACTTACGGTGTGGTTCAAGCAATCCACAAACTCCTCATTTAGTTCTTTATTTTTAGCAAGGATTGGTCCAATTGTGCCCAAAAACTTGTCCATGATATGCCACCTACAATTCTTGTGGGTCGTGTTTGGAAAAACGGTGCAAATGGTGGCTCTCATCGCAGCGTCCTGATCGGTGATTATGTTGAGGGGTGCCTTTCTGTCCATTGCCTTTAGAAATGTTACAAACAACCATTCATAGGTAGCTGCCTTCTCATTCCTTATAAAGGCACATCCTAGCTAAAAAGTTTGGCAGTGTCTGTTGATTCCTATGAATGGTGTACAAGGCATCTCATATATGTTGGTCATATAGGTTGCATCAAATGAGACGCAGTCGCTATATGCCTTTTTGTAAGCTTGTCTTGTAGTTGAATCAACCCAAAATAGGTTCTCAACCCTATGGTTGTCATCGAGCTTGATCTTGTAGAAGAAATTAGGGTCTTCTTCTTTCAAAGCTATGAATTAATCCAAAGTTTCCTGCATATCTTTGAATTTTTTCGTCTTGTGGATGGTGGAGCGAAAGTTCAAAACTTGTTTGCCCTCATATGGCACCAGCTGTGCAGAGCCATAGAACTCGCTCATCAACTGCATGATTCTACCCGTGCTTAAGTTGCATCCGTGTAGCAAAATGATGAAATCCTTTTTCGGCTTTGGTATCCCTCTGTGGGACCTTAGGAACTTCTTGAGCGAGGGCTTCACCACAAGATCGTGGTTGTGCCCGGCCAGAAAATAGATGACTTGCCACTTAGAGCCAATCATTTTGACCACCATCCTCGCCTTGCAGTTTGTATATATCATTTTCTCCCTCTTCCTTTTCTTACATCCGTCAAGCTTCTTCTTCTTCTCCCCTTGATCATCCTCTTCCTCTTGTGCGCTATCCTCCTCTTTGGCTTCATCATTGTCAGAGTAGCAAGTGATAGCATCAACAAGCTGAGTAGCAACTCTTCTTTTCTTGCCAAAGTCTTCCTTATTGCACATGAACTAGACCTTCTGCATTTCTCTTGTGATTGCGGACCGGCGTGACGTGTTTGTTCTAATCAAGAAGCCAGTTCTCTTTGCATAAGAGTTGTAGTACTCTTTTGCTTCGTCCAAGGATGCAAAAGATAGCCCATTGTGTGACATTTGAGGAGTAGACCACACCTCTTTCCTCCTCTTCTGCTACTTCATTTCCAGCACCATTCAATTCATTATCAACAACTACAGGATTAGTAGTAGAACCTTCATTCCTGTCCTCAATCCTTGCCTGTTCAAATGACAATCTGATCTCAAAAATGGTAGGAAGAACCTCTTCTAAAACTGCAGGAGCCGCCTCTGCTAAACCAGCATGACCAACTTCAGAAAAACTAGGCAAAATCTATTGGTTCACATGCTCATCATTAGGCTGAGGAATTTCAGGAATTGCAGGCACTTGAGTGCAGAAGGTAGGGTTGCCAGTCACATAATCCAAACCAAATGCATCCAAAAAATCTTCATCCAAATCTGGTGGTAGCTTGTTAAGATCCATATTTGAGAACTGCATGCAAAATAGTAAGTTACATGAAATTAGACAACTTAGTCAAACCCATTAGGCAATAATACTGTACAAAATTAGGCAAAAAAGGCCAGCACCTTATGCAGTTTTACTCAGTACATGCTGTTAGTTTTGTTCTATACGTGCTATCAGTTACATGAAATTTCATGATAGCTATGCTGTGGCTATCAGTTTTCCACAGTTACAGTGGGACTGAAGACTGACTAACACTGTACATAAATGTTTCAACCTGTAAAATGAACACATGAGAGTTTGAAAACTTAAGACTGTCCATGGTACAAAATGCATTTTATTCCAAAATCAGTTTTCAACTTAATGAATCTTTGTTCTTGTGTTTCCCCCTTTTTGTAGAAAGTTAAAATTTGAGGGTTGCTCATCATCAACTCAGTTGATTTAAATATTTTTTCCTTAGTTCTCGCTACCATCTATGTGCTTATCATGTACTTCTATTTAATTGCAGGTGTGAGGCCATCAAGCATCAAAATAAACATGTGCATCAACCATGTGCAACAGCTAACACAAGAAAGTTTAATGCATAGGAGTAACCATGTGCAACAGCTAACACAAGAAAATTTAATGCATAGGAGTAACCATGTGCAGCAGCTAACACAAGAAGGTTTAATGCAGTAAGATGTACATCTATAGTAGTGGTGCATACATCATATATCCATGTTAACTAGTATGAACACCATCTGGTAGTAAGATGTGCAGTAAGAACATTAGTCATTTACATGTCCAACTTAGAATCAGATCTGCTAATGCAGTAGGAACTGCATTACTAGTTGTGATGCAAGAGAACTGGATTGTTTATCCAAAACAACTAAATTGCTTATGCAAAAGTAGTGAATTGCTTATCAGTTAGGATTAGATCTGCTTATGCAATAGGAACAACAGTACTATCTGATATCAGAACTAAATTGCTTCTAATAACAGATCTGGTTGGTTCTATTGTGTAATTCTAGTGTCTAAGAAGAAGCTGATTATTTACAGCTGATAATATCAAGTTTTGCATATTTATACATATCTGCTGTTTGGATGTATTGGCCTGCCTTGTTTGGATGAATCTACCGGCCGCTCGATGGTGGCGGCGGCGTCCTGGACGCCTCTGTTTTGCGTGTTGAAAGGGAAAAGCAAAACAGGGTGAGGGGAAAGAAGCTTCTAGGCGGGGCGTGGGCCTGGCCTCTGGTGGGCCTTATCCAGGAAGCGTGCTTCCCCACGACCAGGACGAAAACTGGAAAGTGTATACTATTGGATTTCTTAATATGGAGTGTGCGTGCGGCCTGCTTAATGCATGCACGGCGTGCATTAAGCCCTGTTTGTTTGGACTGGTTTGGCTTATAAGCCATGGCTGAAAGTACTGTTGGCTGATTTGGTGTGAGAGAAAAATACTATTCGTTGGCTGATAAGCCAAATACGACCAAACGAACAAGCTGTTAGTCGTTTCCAACAATAAATTAAATATTCTAGGTAGAAAATTGAAAAACTAAATAACTGAAACCTGAAACACTGAACATTGAAGGGATGAATCACATTACTACATTACAAAAAAACTAGTGCTCAGTGACTGAAACTGAAGAAAAAAAGAAATACTAAAACTGAACCACAGACTGCTACTAGCAGAAACACACTAATAAACCTAAAAATCTAAACCCATTGCACCAACCGACTAGGAGATTCACTATCCAGACAATCACAATGCCCGTCAACACTAATCAGCATCTAAAAATCAACACATACAACAATGAACCGAATCACAAACAACAAACCCCAATTTCACATAAAATACAACAAAGCCCAACAGAAACGACTACACTTCGGAATAAATCCAAAGAGCAGCAGCAGCGTCTGCCGAACTTCATCGAGGCCTGCAACGGCGTCAGAGGGGATGGGCTCTTCGAATATCCCTGGTGGTGATAGGAGGAGAAGGCTTATAGGAGTTGGAATCAAGGTTCACGGTGGGGGCTCGGAAGGAGAGATTTGGGGAAAACAGATGCGATAGAGAAGGACGGAGGGAGACAAGAAGACTCACCTGTATATGTGGCGTACAAAGGGCGGCGGGCGAGGGCAACAACGGCACCTGATGGTGACAGCAGCGGATGCGGGCGGGGGGCGAGGGTAACCACGGCACCCAACGGCGACAGCGGCGGTCGTGGGCGGAGGACGAACAACTGCCGCGCGGGAGGTAGAGGGCAACAACAGTGGTGAGCGGAACAGGGACGACCGTGCAGGTGCGCAGACATACAGGACGCGGCCGCCATAGCCCACAATGCCGCCACCGACAGCGCCAGCAAGGCCGCGGCTACCGTTTAGGGGCATGTTTGTTTGCCTGCACTAGGTGGCCCGTGCGTCCTAGCCCAGCCTCGTCATGTGGAGCTAGTGCCAAGTGGTGCAACTGGTGTTGTTTGTTTGCCTGGACACAGTAGGGGCTGGCTGAGGCTGAGATAGCGTTTGTTTGCCTAGCTCAATGTGTATGGTTATCCTATATCAAGACTTAGGTATCCTTACCACCACTACTTCTTCTCCCTCATCTCATTGCCATTTCATCGAGCACCTCGCTGGTGTGAACATCTCAATCACCTCTTCCTCGCTCCTTGCTGCTGTCGCGTGCCTCTTCTTCTTCAAGCACGACGAGGAGCTTGGGCGGGGACATGCCATAGGCGCACTCCACGTCCACTAACTCCCGCACAGCATGGCTAGTGCCCACCGCCCTCGCAGCAGCAGCGAGCTGCTCGAGCTCCTCGGAGATGTCGGAGTTGAAGCTGGAGGTCGGAGAAGTCCAGCGACAGTTCGAGTAGCTCCGTGGCGGCCGCGTTGATGGTGGAGGACGACTTGGCGATGGCCAATGGGTGCGCGGGCCCCGCGGTGGCGGTGAGCTTGTGGAGGTGGATCTGGGAAGTAGAACACCGCATGCCCGCCCATGGTCCGCGCCCGTGGCTTGCTAGCCGCCGCGGCCTACGCGGTGGCGGCGACCGCGCCCGCGGCCTGTAGGGCAGCGTGGCCCACTCCCACGGCCTGCTCGCCAGCGGCGGCGGTGCCCACGCCCACGGCCTGTAGGTAGAGTGGCGGCGGCGCCCGCGCCCGCGACTTGCAGACAGCGGCGGAGCTCGTGGCTTCCTCACGCGCGTGGCTAGCTCGGCAGCGGCGGTGCCCGCGCCTGTGGCTTCCTCACGCCCACACCGATGGCACGGCGGCCTAAAGAAGACGACCATGGGAGGAGGAGATGGAATCTCTTGCCTCTGGCTCCATCGTGCCTGCGTTCCCCCAGAGCCAGGCCCGGGGCTGCTTTACGTAGCGTGCGAGGCTGGCTCCCAACCCTGTCCAGGCAATCAAACACCTTAGAGCATCTCTGAGAGTTCCCTAATTTTTTCTCCTAAAAACTTGTAGTTTGGCAACTCCCAAAAAGATATTGGAAGGGGAAAAGATAGTCATCTCCAAGAGTTTTTAATAAATGACATCTAAAAAATCAAATTTGAAGCCCACATCATCTCCACGCTGGTTCATGGCCGCTATCGGCTCAGAGGTGGGCACGAAGCGGGTCTCCATGCTGGTGTTGGCGAGGAAGCCCGGCATCGGGGGCGGCGAACCCCTGTGATCGGCGACAGTGACATGAGATGCTCGCTCTTCTCTTCGTCAGTGGCGACGGCAGCCGCTGGGGTCTCGTCGTACTCGACGATCGGGGTGCCGGTGTCTGTGGCGTCGGCACCGGGGACCACATGCTTGTTGCTAGCCCGGTACTCGGCCACCTTCCTCTTGAACTCCGTCACGCTGATCCCCAGCCACGCCTCAGCTGTGCCACCAGGCAGTCCCGCAGGTCCGTCGCCGAGAACTTCTCGATCGCCCTTTGCCCGCTACCCTGCAGCAGTGCAACAGGTGACACCAGGGATTAGCAAGAGATACATGGCGTCGCCGGCATGTACGGAACGGTGGTGCTTGCAGTAATCACATATTGAAGGGTCTCTGTACTGCTACCAATGGCGGCGGTGTCCACGACGGGCACCGTGGCCAGCGACGCCGCCCGCATTGCCCTGATGGCGTCGTTCACCTTGGTGCTGCCAGCAACTGCGATATCCTCCATCAATGTGCTCGCTGGCGACGGAAACCTTCTCTGCACAACAACATGAGATGGCGCGAAGCAAGAAGCCACGCCAAAATGACGGCGGCAAGAGAGAAATCATGCGGGGACGGATACACGCGACGGGAGCAGCGCGTAACTTTACGCCGGTTGGGGTGATTTTTCCCAAGTCCTAAAAATTTGGGAGGATATATTAGGAATTGTTGGAGAGAGATTTTTTTCAATCTTGCTAAAAAACAAAGATTAGGAAGGCATTTAGGATGCTCTTGGAGATGCTCTTAGGTTGCACTCCCAGGGCACGATGGCCCATTTGATACAGGCAAACAAACACGCCCTAGACTCCCAGACCACAGAAATGACACGAAGCAGCGGGATAATTTTTTTAATGCAAAAAAGCAGCCGGATAATTCAAAAGGAATAGCAAATGAAATCCACACACCTTAGATGGGACCACAGAACAGAAAGCACGAATCTTAACAACAATCAGCACCATACAAAAGTGGAAGATAACAGAAACAAAAAAAACTGCTGTAAGATATTTAGAAATCCTGAAAAAAATGGTTTTGGTTTTCTGATCCAATTCAGCGAAAGTTGGTAAGGTCAAATGGGCTTTTCCCCCAAAAGAAATTGTTGAATTAGCACGGAACTGGGCAGCATGGGAACCATAAGCAAAGCCCGTGTAACCCAAGAAGGCCCAAGTCCAGTTTTTATCTTCATTGAGGCTCTCTGGAGGAGAGAAACCTCACCAACAAGGCATACACGTAGGGCGTGATTGGTAGGTCAAACCGAGCCATCCTCGCACCGTTGTCTGACCTCGTTCATGTGGCATGTTTGATTGCCCTGCTTGCACCTTTCGTCTATATCCTTTCATTCATCTGGCCTCCTCCATCCCGCACGACTTCGTCTTCTAGATTTCTCCTTCCCTCATGGTGCAGAATGACTTGATTCACCTAGGATGCAGGGACCATGCGTCAGACACCCTAAAAACTAATGCATACATGCAACTAAACACAACTCCGTCTCATACTGAACCAACAGCAAAGACAACCAAACACGACCACCTACACGAGGTCAACCCGACATCTTCGATCCTGCACAGCCTGACCATCCTAGTTCAAGGCTTGCTCTGCAACCAATCACGCCCATACACACTCTCCGCTTCATGCCTCTTCCGACCGCGCCGCCGCTTTGGTGCTAGCCAT